AATGAAGCATCTTGCTCTGGCAAGGATGCGCTTACCGATGCCATGACCAGCTGAAGACTAGAGAAGACGTTTTCAGCTTCGCCATCGTCGTCCACGATACGACGGGACGAGCTTTGGTTAGCTTGGAGCAAATTGCGGCTTTCCTGTGAGAAAGACTCCCCCCCTCATACCCGCTGAGTGTTCCGGACTTAGCGTTTGCGGTATTTCACCAAATGATGACCTGGTTCCTTTAAAAATAGAAACACAAGTTTTCTATCATGTATTTTTTACGCAAGCCAAAGCGGGCGCTTATTGTTTCCACCAGAGTAGGCCCCTCTTCTGTACGAGGCTGTGAGGTCGAGCAATGTTGCATGGATTGATTTCCGGGCTTAGCTTGCGAACACGACGAGACATGATGTGTTCGATCACACATCAGGTGAAAGATATGTTGACATTGCATCTGTCGCTTTGGCACTTTACGAACGTATTTACTGTGTTTCTGAGTGAGCGCATTTGCAGTCAAATGTTTTTTTTGCTCGGATAGTTGCAAGCTAGCCCTGTTGATGTGCATTGGTGTTCATTCCGCCCGTGAATGTGAAAGGCACCTTGGCAAAGTTCTGCATGTTTTTCTTCCAGTTCTCCGTCATGTCGCTCATCTTGCCCTCCATTTCCGCGATCTTACCCGTGGGCTTGCGCTGCATCCCCAATGTCTCGAGATACGCCGCCAGCTCACTCTTCTTGAGCCCTTTCACAGCCATAATATTCTGAAAATCCTCCGCAGAACCCTCAGGCCACATGATCTTGAAGCTCTCGACAAGCATTTCGTTCGGAGTGCCAATTAGCTTCAGCACGTTTTCCACCGTCGCCATCTCGTTCGAGACGAACTTGGTGTAACGCGACGGGATCGTCGCTGAGCTCGTTGAGGTGGAAGAGGATTGGAAGCCGTCGTTGTTCAGCACTGGCAGTTGAAGGAACAACGTCTTGAGAGCGTACACGTCAAGAAGAAGTTGCTGCGTTGCTACCTGGTTCATCCTTCGGCACTTGAACACGGCCTGCAAGATCTTGGGCACGAAGGACGCCGCGAACTTATCGCAAAAGTTGGTAAAGTACAGTCCAGACAGCATTTGGCGCAACACCGGCACAAACGTCTGCAGCTTCTCGCCCATTTGCGTAACGTACAAACTCTCGTCGCCCACGGCTTCCCATGTCTGCCAGTTGGCCTTGTGGAGTGCGTTCAAATCGTCATCCAGCGACGTCTCCAATCCAGCAACGATACACTTCATAGCTGCGGCGCCCACGTCGTGGAACGTATCGATCTCTTGTGATAACTCAATGGCTTCACTGAACGCCTTGTCAATCTTCGCTCGAATTACTTCCTCCAGAGATGGCAGCGTCTCAGCGCAGTACTCGGCCGTGTTGATTACGAAACATAGTTCCTCTTCCTGTTTATCGCTCAATTTGACCTTGTTGCCCGCACCACTGCTTGAAGAATCCAGACCGCCTGATGGCCCAGTCGAGGCAGCAGGGAGTTTCGCGAGAAGTCGTTGCGAGTAGAGCTGAAAGCAGTGTTTGAACTCGTTCTGGAGGTCAAAGAACGTCTGGCCGTTTGTCAGGGCCGTACATCGTTTAATTGAATTGCGAATGTAGGCAAACATGTTCACGGAGCTCGAGAACACTGGCAGCTGGCCGTTCCGATCCACCAACTCGGCGCTCATCACCTCGTTGATCATCTGCTCCATGTTCTTACGCTCCAGTGCTACATACGCCGTCATGAACGGGTCAAATGAACGAGATATCATTCCCCGAATAGTCGGCAAGCCCTGGTTATTGTCGTCCGTGAGCTCACCGTTCTTCTCCATTTCTTCTTCTAGCGCCTTACGCTCCGCCTCACGCTTCTTACGACGATGTTTTCTCTTGATTCCTTCAGCGGAATGTGGGTCAATGGCATCGCCGTTCTCGTCCAGTTCCACTTTCTGAAGCTCTTCTTCATCGGCCATCCCTTCGAAGCGCTGTGCTGCGTCACGTTCAAACATGAGCGTTCGTTGTAGAGACTTCAGCAGCAAAGTCACGTCCATCTCGTCTGGAGTGTGTGCTCCTATCTGTGCAAGTAAATGGGTCCGCGTTCGTTCACAGAACTGAATGCACATCCGTCGAGCCATTCGCCAATGCTTTGGGAAATAGCGTTCAAGCGATCGTCGATGGCAGAGAGGAGATTGTAGAACCACGTGTATCTCGTTTCAGCCTGGTGCAACCTAGCGCACTCTCCCCCGTCCCCGTAAAGTCTCTCGTAGGACATCAACTGTTCGTCACAAAATAAATGGACCAGTTTCTCTCTGGTTGCTTTGCCCAAGGCATCGACACACGCAGCCGAGAGGTTGGCAAAGACAGCTTGTCGTTCTTCTTCGGATGGAAATTGTCCTCCAACGACTCTATTGGGCCATTAGACCGAAAGTCGGCAAAGATCTGTCCGCCAAGTTCTTCCTGCAATGTGCGCACAGCTTTTGTTGGCAGTTCCCACGCATTCTAACTGGCGTTTGTGTAGCCGTCGAAGTGCGTGAAGAGTTGGTTGACAGCTTCGAGCAAAGATGCGGCCTCGCGATAATTACGTTGCGAGGACATAAACTCTAGCTGATCAACGGCATTAACCAGCATGTGCAGCCGCTTTAGCGCCGTGAGCGTGGTCTGCAGATGGCGCTTAGCATAGTCGAGCTGCTTGATGTCGCGACAGATCTCCTGCACCATGACCTCGGACTGCTCTGCCTTACCTCGGATATCGTGGATCTTGTGGAAAAGCTGCTGACTCGCCGTTTTCGCTTCCTTCAGATCCAGAAGCGCCTGATGCGCCGCTAAACTCTGGTCTTGTGACGCCTGAGACAGCGAGTCGTCGAGCTCCTTCATACGCCCGCGGAGACCGCTCACAAAGTCACCAATGTCCCCCAGACTCTGCTCGTCCGGAAAGTTTCGGTTGATGAACTCGCGCGCATCGAACTCAGGTCGGTCCAGCAGGTCCTCCGAGGGCAAAACCTGTACATGAGACGTTGGAGAGACCTGGCAGTCAACTTGATACAGGACTGCAACACGAGGAAGATACTTTGGCCAGCGTGTCCTCCACGTTCTGAGGGAGTTTTAATGCACGTCCATCGCCGTCGCTGTACTCGCTGGCCCTGGGCCACGACGCAGTAATCGATCCATTTTCGACTCTTTTGAAGCTCGAGGATAACATATGATGGGATATTAGGACTTTCGAAATATTGCTTACCAAGATTTATATAATATTCGTAAGAAAGAAAGTAGAGAGTAGAGCACCCCGTCAAAATTGATTTCTTACACTCTGGCTTCAGTTTGTGATACCGGAAGCTTGGTGGTACAGTACTGCACCCCGTTTTCGCGTGGTGGACCATATAGGATTTGCCAATAAATCAGATTTTAGCTAACAGACTTTTGCTCATTTGGATTCGGTATCATAACATCCGAAAGGTCCAATGGCGCGAAAACGGGGTGCAGTACTGTACTGGCATCAGGCTGCTGTTTATTTAGTTCGCAGACTTAATTCTGCGCGGGGAAGCTTTCAGCTGATAATCTTCTTTTCTCAGATTCCGTCCTCGACCCCACACTCCTACCTCGGACAAACCAAGAAGCTTCGTTTCGGTATGCATACGTCAACCTGAGAACAAGGGTGGTCTTATCCCTTCCCCTCAGTAAGATCTACACCCGTTTCGAGCGAAACCTTTGCTCAATTTTCAAGAAAGAGAAGAGAAAAATGAGCGCATACTGCGACGGGGATTCGTATTGTTCTTCCAGCGCAATATACGACGTGGTCCGGCCAACATCAACAGTTGCAGCAAGTATGACGACTTCAAAAACCGCCGATGAAATTCGCGGCGTCATGGATGCGCTGAAGCTTGAAGTGATTGCGACTTACTTCGATCAAGATGACGACGAACTTGATCCGTACGTCGTTTGTGAGGGAGTCTCTATTGCTGCTTTCAATGAGTATGTTGGAGACGGCGAAGGGCTGCGGATTCCACTTCGATTTCTCGCCCTCAACGATGGGCGTATCGTGATTGTCGAACTTCCAACGAAAGTGCATGAAAGCACTGCGGCATCTTTCGAGAAAATGTTCAATCGGGCATCAGGCAATGATCTCGAGGTTGCAAGTTGCCGCTCGATGACAGCGAGAATAGCTGGCAACCCGAACAAGGAGGCCGATACGAGTTTTGGCCCAAAGAGAACGACGCTCAACCGAACACCGGCACCGGCACCCCGCACCGCTACCGATTGGGTGACACTGGCTGTGGAGGTTGGAAGATCTCAGACGTGGGCGAGTCTGGAAGCAGCTGCTCAATGGTGGTGCGATTACAGTGGAATCCAGTATATTCTCCTGCTGAAAATCAGTCCTCAAGGTGTTCAAATGCGATACGCGCTTTATGACATCGCCGTACTTGGCACTCTACCAGCGCCGACTGCAAGTGGAACGTTTCGACGACGCACCAGATCTCACCCAGCTGTCAATGTCTCCTTCGACATGCGCAGAATATTATCGATCCCCCCGAATGCAGCTCTTCCACCTGGCGTGAACCCAGAAGCTCGTGTCGATCTGCGCATCGTCATGAATCTTGTCATCGACAGTCTTGAATAAAAAAAGCACTGCCATGGATTCATGCGGTTCTGCTGCAGTCTGAAACTCTGCTTTGTAAAACTACCATGCATTCATGATCTGACCAGACTCCACTAGGGACCTTCGATACGTAATACTATGTAGTACGTGGGAATTCCAACACCACAGTGTACCACAACGCTGTGTTCAGATCGAGAGTGCCGTGGTCGCATTCGTAGCACAAGTCTGCCACAAAGGCCGCGACTGTGACGCTTTCGCCTATGATGGACAAGCAGCGATTGCACCTGGACGACTCGTAATACTGATCACAGGTCATCGCCCCAAAATACGAGGAATTGAGGCCGTACGGTGCCATACGCGCGCTTCAGTCTCTCCGAGGGCTGGTTCGAGGCCGTACGTCGTGGCTTTGCCTGTAAAGACTTCCTTGGCCAGCACAGGCCAGGTGGGGTACAAACATAGTTGCACCAATATCGACAGAAGAAGTTGTGCTGCTCCCATAGTACAGCAGCGTTGCCAGGAAGTCGGTCGCTTGGCAATAGTAGCAGACCAAATTGGCATTAGTTATTACTAGCCAAGCGCCGCCGCTACATTAGCTTTGGCCTCCGCTGCACTTTGGTGGGATAATTATTGAAAACCCTGCTGAACCCCTTTGTGCCTAAATCCTTTTTTTAATTATATTAATCTGGGTTAGCATCATATTGCCCGATTAAAGTAATTGCTCTAATGATCTTGCATCAATATTCATGATGCAATTTTTTTATTAATATTATTGTTAGCTATCATTCACCTTCCACCTGCACCTCAAATAACATTTATACAAACGCTTCACAATATGTTAACTTTAGTCGATATCACGGACCAATTCTGAGCTCACATGATAGTAATGGTGTGTCCAGGTTGCACTTCTTAGTAAGAAGTTCTTACCCGCTTGTACTGCCTATTTGAGCTTGTAAGCGGCTAAAAACGGCTCACTTCTCACACAAAACTCAATGAAAGCTCGAAAATATTCGAATTGTAATGTTTTTATGCATGCAGCGTTCATTTTGTGCTGACTCAGAATTAGTCATTAGACACTCGATTCCGTGTCAGTTTTGATGAAAGCGTTTCAATAATGTGTCGCAAGACGCCTTGCTGTTGTTGATGTTGACGGTCGTGTTTATTATGTGATAGCTTAACGATCATGGCATGATGGTTATTCATGATTTATTAAAGTCTCCAAGTTTCTTTATGGGGTCTACTTAATCAACTATAATTAACACCTCTCGTGATTTTGTTGTTCTATTTCCGCTCCTTTTAAAATCTTGTCCTACGCCCCTGTCGGTGACACGTCCGCCAGTTAAATAGTATCGGGATCTTGCTGTCTAAACAACTCTTAGAAAACAATGGCTTACAGCAGTTGCACATATGGGCTCATCTAAAGCTACCTGTCTTTACGGGTCAAGTGACAGCGTTTATTATCACAGCGTTGTTCTTACGGCCAGCTTCTGTTGTACATGTACTACTATTTGCTAGCTTAGTCAGCTACCTCACACTCAGATAATAATTAATATTTCTATTACAAAACCGTTGCAGCTAATATTTTAGTCATTGAAACTTGCAGAAACTAATAAGAACATTGTAACAAATGTAGTTAGGACGTCTCCACAACAATGCGTCTACTAGGATAGTAAACGATTGTTCGAACGGACCTGAAGACCCAGTTCTGCCCTTGCACCGGGACAAACTGGACCTTGTAAACTACTTATATAGGCCAACCAGTAAAAATAAGAACACACTTCTAGCACGAGCAAAGCTAGCCGGTGTTCTAAATTCTCGTGGTCCCAACAGCGGAAGGGTACCAGGCACGGGTAAGCATTTTACGAGGTCACCGAGTGTTTAACACTCGGTTGGAAGAATAAAAGGGGTGCAATTCAAGCACTCCCAGTCGGGCAAATAGGCAACAATAAGCCGTCATGTAAAACCTCCCGATAGTAATCGGCCAATACACAAAGTCTCTTGGCCTTGCCGGATGACCCCTCGCTACAGAGCTTCGAGCTCACCGACAGGCATAAGACACTCAAACAAGCTTGACCTGACGCTTACCTTGAAGCCAGACGGCGCTCTGTGTGCTTGAGTGGAAATTCTGTTCTGTATTTAAGCTTACCCTTCCGGGTCTATTCCTAATAAGAAGTCCTAATCAAGTTTACAAATATCAAGTGAACAATGATCCGTTATGGATCTTCTTGCATGCCAAGCGTCGTCTGCACCGTCGCATGAGTATCTTTAACGGTCCGCGCCCTGTCCCAGACGGTGAACGTGCTTCCAAAGGGTCGCTAAATCTTCCGCGAACTCATCCCAACCGCCACCGAGGGTTCGTATCGTAGATGGTCCGCTGAATGCGAATCAATTGTTAATAATCAGGACAGCCTGGATTCAGTGACATATGAGCCGTATCCAATATCCGTCGAGCGTTCGGTAGTGACGCCGTCGAGTCCCTTGCACCTTGGACAGGCATAAGAAACTCAAACAAGCTTGACCTGACGCTTACCTTGAAGCCAGACGGCGCTCTGTGTGCTTGAGTGGAAATTCTGTTCTGTATTTAAGCTTACCCTTCCGGGTCTATTCCTAATAAGAAGTCCTAATCAAGTTTACAAATATCAAGTGAACAATGATCCGTTATGGATCTTCTTGCATGCCAAGCGTCGTCTGCACCGTCGCATGAGTATCTTTAACGGTCCGCGCCCTGTCCCAGACGGTGAACGTGCTTCCAAAGGGTCGCTAAATCTTCCGCGAACTCATCCCAACCGCCACCGAGGGTTCGTATCGTAGATGGTCCGCTGAATGCGAATCAATTGTTAATAATCAGGACAGCCTGGATTCAGTGACATATGAGCCGTATCCAATATCCGTCGAGCGTTCGGTAGTGACGCCGTCGAGTCCCTTGCACCTTGGCGTCACCGTACATCACATGACCGAGGGTTCGTCGCTTGAACATCTTGGGCGGTGTCACGTAATTTGTCGACGGGTGATAATCCGCAACTACGGAAAAATCACTATACCACAACTGCCCCTGTCGCAATGGAAGCCACGATACTGGTGCCCGTTGTGACATTTTTTCATTCTCCAATTCACCATTCAGTCACCGTATGTCCAAGCGTTTGAATCGAGCCGTGTCCGACGCGTTTCATCGTCTCAATCCTCGCCGACGTCGCGAGCGTGAACAGCTGGAGGTACGTCAGCTCATTCTTCTCTTGAATCATCGCCGCCTTGCTCATCGACTAATTCTGAGTCAGCACAAAATGAACGCTGCATGCATAAAAACATTACAATTCGAATATTTTCGAGCTTTCATTGAGTTTTGTGTGAGAAGTGAGCAGTTTTTAGCCGCTTACAAGCTCAAATAGGCAGTACAAGCGGGTAAGAACTTCTTACTAAGAAGTGCAACCTGGACACACCATTACTATCATGTGAGCTCAGAATTGGTCCGTGATATCGACTAAAGTTAACATATTGTGAAGCGTTTGTATAAATGTTATTTGAGGTGCAGGTGGAAGGTGAATGATAGCTAATAATAATATTAATAAAAAAATTGCATCATGAATATTGATGCAAGATCATTAGAGCAA